TGACTTGGGTTTTGAACCTGTGGTCAGTTTTGTTCACTCATAACATGGGGTCATCTGAGAGCATCTCTGGGTCCACCACTGAAGTATTTTCCCTCAACCAATGTATCTAAAGTTCACACCACAGTCCCCTAAGGACTGCGCCCAGAACAAACTACAAACATCTTACATAAACGAGAGCAGGAGAAAATTATTAGTACTTGCTAGTGCAAATTAAGCTGCTGGGTTAGCCAGCAAAGCAAGTATTAATCAGATAAACTGGGACCAAGGGCAGGAAATCAGCAGGGACGGAAGTTTGCAGCATGCAGCAGCGTTCCAGAAGGGTGATGTTTAGGAACTCGGTGGGCTCAGCAGCAACTGGAGCCCAAGATGCAAGAAGAGGCTGACTGTGCAGTCCTGAAGGCAGCGACAGAATCGTGATGTGACATTGGCTGGGTGCCCGCCACGCTCTAAAGAAACTCAGGCAGGTGCACACCATGGTACACGTACACGTAACAGATAACACACACATACTGGTGCTCACTGGCTTGAATACTTCACAATGCACGGTGAATGGGAATCTGAGGTAGTTTTTAAATTTAAAATATAGTTTTGCTCTTGGTGCAGAAATGGGTAACCTGTCTATACGTCCTCATCAGATGAATAATAATAAAAAGAAGTAGTTTTCATCTTCAAGTGAGCACTTTGCTTTCTATATAATCTTATTTGAGAATATTTTTTTTTTGTCTTTTTCCTTTTTATTGGTACCAGGGATTGAACTCACGACTGCCTGCTTGCAAGGCAGGTGCTTATGCTGCTGAGCTAAATCCCCAGCCCCTTGAGAATCTATTTATACAAGAAACTTATGATGGAGATAGACATTTGCATTGAAGTTGTACTATTCTTTAAATAATGGGTGTGGAATTGTACTTTGATTTTTCATAAATGCCTTATTCCTAGAAGAAAGAAAATATATTTGAGACATTCTCTGTGAAATGACAATATTCTCAGATATCTGAGAAACTATTGTTTGATGATTAAGCAATTGAATTAATGATAATATTTCTAAAAACTCAAAGAAATTATGATAAAGTGACCATATCTTACAGGTATTTTGTTTTCAAATCAGTTACATGAAGCATTCTAGCCAGCTTAGAAAAGTTAATTTGTGCCAGGCGTGGTGGCACATACTTGTAATCCTAGCACTCTGGAGGCTGAGGCAGGAAAAGCGCCATGGCACCAAGGCCAGGCTGGGCCATATACTGAGCTCAAGGCGAGACACTGTTTCAACAACAAACAAAACAAAACAAAACGAAAAGTTAATTTGTAAAAACAGACAAAAGACTATCTTGCTACATATATTTGTTTCAAAACATTCTTAAGACTACACACACAGGTACACACACATTTCTAACTTGGTGAGTGCTCAATAAATATTGACTACTCTCCCCAGTGAAATGAACCATAACAGCATTATTACATTATTGTGGCATAATCATAAGGTCAGGCAGTGTATTTACTTGAATTATATGAATGCCCTCATTCTTTCAGTCTTTCTTTTTATACTTAAGGTGCAGATGACCCAGCTGAAATGAAAAAGCATTAGGTTATGACATCATGATAAGAAGTAACAGTTGCAAGTTGCAGATTTTCTTAGGATTGAAATCAGATCTGTTCAAAGGTGATTTGACAAATGTTTGTAAGTAAAGTTATTAATAGAGAGACTCAAAGCTCTGTTCTGCTCATCTTGGAATGTTCCCATGCTGGGAAACTGGGAAAGGTTTTCTTATGTAAGAATGAGTAAATTCCTAGTGTGTCACCCTAACTTGTAAGCTTTATTGGACTCTGCTTACACAGGTGCAAAAATATGTGATAACCAGAATTGTTCTCATTCAATCAATCACTCTAACAGTAGAGCATAGCAGCTTTCTTCATATGTTTGCCTGAATGAACAGCTTAGTTAATTATGAATCCAGGATTCGTAGAAACTCTGTTCTTAATCATGGCTAGTTTCATTGATTATCATTAGCTTTCAAAAGCTTGTAAGAGTGAACACAGTGACTTAGTCTGTTTTGTAATAAAATGTTATTATCTGAGCTAGATCTAAACGTTGGCATTCTTTCTTCATGACATGAATTCTTCCCTAGAATTTTCATTTCTGATGTGAATTCATTATTGAAGGATAAAATGGTGTATGGGGGGTGTTATGGTTTGATAACTAGTGGTCAACTTAACGCCAGCTGGATTACATCAGCATGCATTGAGAGAAGATGCTCCACCTGAGAAGGGTTGCCAGGATAAATAGGTGGAGAAGAAGAGAGGTGTGGAGAGGGATTGAGGCGTTATGGAGGCATTGTTGGTTCTCCTATGAGTTGCTGTCTGAGCTGTTGCTTCTCCTGGAGAAGCTTTGGTCTTCACATCGAGCATTGCTTCCTGGCTCTGGAGGGGAAGACATGTGCTGCCTGGTCTCCAGGGTGAACTCATCATGCTGCTTCCTGGCACGTTCCCGACTGTGCTTGTCGTCGGAGGAGCTCGGGGCCTCCGTGTCGCTGAGGACAGCTGTGGTTCCTTTCAGGACAGCCCCACTCTTTGTTGTGAATGTGACTTCTCAGCTCCAGCATAGAACCCTCATCCCACTAGCACAGCTCCTTCATCCTGCTGGCATGGACTTTCTGGCTTCCACCGCTGACCCTTGGGTCTTCCCAGCACGAATCCGTAAAAGAGATTGGCGTGAGTCCTTGTGGGCCCTGGACTTCCAGTTGGACTCATGGAGGCGTTGTCCTGAGCTCTGGGTTTTTATCTGGACTTATGTGGGACATTGCCATGGGGTTTAGACTCTTGACTAAATAATCTATGTTGTTGGTGTTATGGACAGATTTCCTGCATTCTCCTGTGTTAACTTCCGGTGACCATTATAAAAATATTATAAACTCCATGTCCTGATCTGAATTGTTCTCTGTGTACAACCCCTGACTACAACAGGGGTAATGTTACTTTTTTAAAAAAAAGTTTTAATTTCTTTCCATTTAAATACTGGCATTTTAAAAACATTTTACATGTAGCATTAATTTCTACTAACCCTGTGGTTAATTCTTCTACATGTTTAAATTTGTTTGAATTGTCAAAAACAGGGGCATGCTTCACAAACTTTGGTCATGTAGTACAAGATGTCTAAATTTGAGATTCAGTCTTACTATAGTTTCAGTCTTACCATAACAAGTTCTTGTCTAAACATGGAATTGGAGAGTTAATTATGTACTCCACTACATGTGAACTATTTTAAGAAAACCACTGTCTAATGTCTAATACACATTGTACGTTTGTGTAAAATATAATGCCCAACATATAGATTTCTTATAAGTCATTCACTCTTAATTCATCCTTTTTCAGTAGATTACACGTGTGAGTCACTATGCTTCCGTCTTCCAGCTCGACACTATTTCTCATTTTCTAGACAACACAGACTGAGAAGTGTGTGTGTGTGTGTGTGTGTGTGCACGCACACGTGTGCGTGTGATGCCTCGCAGGAACAAGGGAACTTCTAGGGACTAAGTGCTTCTTCCTTAGCTTCTAGGTAAGCCCACTTTTGTCCTCTGGTCCAGAAGTGTCTGGTGCTTTTAATTCTCCTAATTTTTTAAGACTCTGCAGAATAAATTGGGTCAGTTTTTAGTTTTCTCCTTTGCTACTTTGGGTTGTAACATTTAGGTTTTCTAAGTCAGTTACCATTCAATTGGGTTTTAGCTTCCAAATTGTTAACTTTCCTAGCACAACATTCTGAAAAATAGCCATTGAATAAAAACCATTACATTTTGGATACATTCGTATCTTTGATCACAATGGTTTATTTTTAAATTCCTCTTCTAATAAAGTTATGTTTTGGTGCAGGATTGTAATCTCAAATGCTTAAACGGGTCAGATAGGTTCTCTGGCTTCTCTCACTGGATCAAAACTCCTGTAAGTTGGGCATCAGAAATAATTAGCTAACTTTGGAAGAACCTGGGAGCATTGAAGCTGGTATCCCAGTGGGAGGAGGACTCTTGCTCCAGGCCAGGAGGCAGTAGATGCATTGAGGCAGAGATGCTGGTGTGACAAGGTGGGGAAGAGAGGGCCCCAGATAATCTTCACTTCCACATCCTGCTGGTTCCCCAGGGTTTAAACTTCGAAGGGACTGTTTCAAGACTTCCCATGGGTCCCTGGTGAGGAACATCGAAAGTAGGTAACAAACATAAGTCACGGGGCCATCTTGGGTGAGAAGCAGGATAATCCCAACGGAAGCCTACCTGGCAGAGTGTGTGGGCCAGAAGGCAGAGGACATGCATCTCTGTGATGCAAAGGAGTCCTTACTTTTCAGAGGGCTGGGCTGAGTTCGGGAGAGTGGAGGGGGAGTTTTTGCCTGGCCCCAACTATGCGAGAAAACAGATCCTGAGCAGAGCTATGGATTTCAGTGGCAGACATAGCAGGAAATCCGAAGCCCCTGTTTCCCTTAGAAGATCCCTAAACAGTCACCAGGGGGAAGAGGCAGCACTAACAAATCATTAAGCATGGAGAGACAGCCTGATAGACCTTTGGCTGAACGTTAACCTGAAACAGGCGTTTCAATGGGAAAAGACCATGTCAAACTAAATTTTTAGTTGGAAAGAGAGTGAATTGTCATTAATTAACAAATTCAATCAGCAAAAATTTCAGAGTCATAAGAAATAATGAATTGTAAATACTGAAGAAGCTGGGGATGGTGGCACTACCCTGTAATGTCATTGCTTTAGAAAGCTGAGGCAGGAGGATTTCAAATTGAAGCCCATCCTGGCCCAGCTAGGGAACTTCTGTCTCAATATAAAAAATAAAAATAAGGCTGGGGTTGGAGCTTAGTGTGAAGACTTTAATTTCAATCCCCAGCCCAAGAAAACAAATTAAAGAAGATATATTTCTTAAAATATCGGAGTTGGCAATGTGATATCAAGATATGATTGAGCCCTCTCATTGAAATGTTGATTTTAACTGAATTCACTGAGTACCACTTCATTAGATACTTTAAAAATGCTTTATGTATTTATTATGGGTTTTTTTTTGCATACAGTTGCTTGAATCAGAGCCTGAGAGAAAGCCTGAGAATTTCTCCCTGCCATGCACTACAATAGTTAAAATGACACAGAGAATGTTAGAATACACGACTGGTATTTGGTACAGTATTTCTACAACTGTAAAAGTCGATTTGTCAAGGAAAGACAATGGACCTCCCCTAATATCTTGATGTTTACACGCTGGGGGATCACACTACAAATGTAAATTGTGGCCTATGACATACAGAAATTATTGCTTTAAGTGTCATTATTGCTATCGTCAAAGATAAAAAGAATTGCAATATAGCTACACACGTTTTCATCAGAGAGCACCCGTTTACCTCCCCCTTCCTTTCCGCAGTGCACAGTCTTATAAATCAATGTCTAAAGGCCAGGGCTGTAGAGTTGGAGCCCACAGTCCACCAGTCCCCCGTTGGGGCCATTCACACCTTCCTCGTGTAAACACGCATGTGTGTGTGTGTGTGTGTTTGTGTGCGTGCGTGTGCACATGCGCATGCTTCCTCCTGCAGAGGACCTAGGCTTTGGGGTACAGGGTGACTGTGTCATAGCCCTCCGGGGGCCTCGTGCGGGCTCTCGCGTGGGTTTCACAGTACAGCTCCCCCTCCACGAAGAAGTAGCCCTTTTGCTTGAGGTTGAGGTTGCAGTCAGCACACACGAAACACTCAGGATGCCGGTACTTATCCCGCGCCTTCACGACAGCACCACTGTTGGGGGAAAAAAAAAGCATAAGTGAGAAACAGAGCGCCACAAATGACACAGAAAGGGAGAATGATGCACCCGAGTCAGGCCAAGTGTTTGGCAAAAACCACCACCAGCGGTAGAGCTCCTCACGTGGAGGAACTGCCAGAGGGCGTGCAAGACAAGCTCAGAGGCCTCCCCCCATTTCTCTGATGTTGACTGTGTGTCACTGTTTCAGACTTATAGAAACAGCAGCTCCTTTGCCCACTTGCTTTGAAAGAGGGATGTGACAGAAATTAGAAAAGGATCTGACTTTGAACCACGCTGGGTCACACAGTTCCCGGACCCTTTGATGGGTCTCCTTGATGGTTCAGCCTTTATGTTCTACAGAGCAGAGAAAGAATTCCCAGGAGTTGGGTGGACTTTGGAAAGTTTGATCCCATTTGGGAACAATAACTGCTTGTGGTGACATTAAGAAGTGTTGTAGTTTTTGAGTTCTCTGCTCCCAAACCCCTTGCCCTGTTTCTTCCTCCTGCCCCACAGGTCACCAGAGGCTCTAACCGTGTTCATCCTGCACCACCCTCCTAGGCCGTGTCCTGGAAAACCTGGCAGATGTTGCCTCAGTGCCTTGGCCAAAGCAGAGAAATTCGGACAAAGGGTGGTGAAGTGGCCACACTGAGATTAAAATTACCCCGTTCATTTGAAGATCAATACCAAGTGAGGCTGTTAAACAGCAAGTCCATGGGGATGGAAGGAGACTGTACTTTAAGAAATTATTTTAAGATTTGTGTTGTCAAAGAAATTGAATAAAAATAATGTCTTGATTAGCAATTTGATGACTCCTGTTATTTGTTTCCCTGTGTTTAAACAGAAAAGAAAATACAAAGGGAAAGTTTTTAGGGGGTGCTTTTTAAAGTGAAATCAACATTTCTTGAAAGTTTTAAGTATATACTTAGGGCAAGTGCTCCCCACTCCCACGAGCATGTCTGAAAGTAAAGTCAGTTCACATTGTTTGCCAGTCTGAGTTTACAGCTAAGGAATATTGGTCAAAATGTACTAAATGTTGTGAATATTCTGTTTCAAGTTGATGAATAGAAATTTAAGTTTTTCATAACTGCCTTTTCTATCTTAAAAAAATGAAGAACCTCTACCAAGCCTTATAAGGTGAATTCTTGGGTTAAAAATGAGACGTACACAATGCCACTTCCACATTTGTCACAGAGCGGCATCCGCTGAGCTCCTCCAGCTCCACCGTGGACTTTGGTTACTGGGGCCCGGACACTGCGGGTCCCGGCAGGCCGGTCATCTGAAAAACAAACAGTTTCCATTTGTGGTAAGGGAACAGCTGACTCCAGACTTGGGGCTCCTATTTTCAAGTGTGCACTTTAACCTACGGAATTCTGAAGTTATATCTGCACTACCCTTTGCAAAGGAGCAGGATCAACTGAAGCAGCGGAGACTTGGTTCTGAAATAGGGCTTTTGAAATAGACCTGCTTAAAATATTTTGTTATTATTGGAGGAAGCTGTTACAAAATGCTCAAAGCCTCAGAGGGTATCTTTAATTTTCATTCTTATCAAGGAAGATACACATAAAGCTTTCCTTTTTGTCTTTTTTGGTGGAACTGGGAATTGAAGCCAGGGTCTTACACATGTCACGCAAGGGCTCTAGTACTGAGCTGCCTCCTTCACCCCTCTTTTAAAGATTTTTTCTGAGACAAGGTCTTGCCGTGTTGCCCAGGTTGGCTTCAAATTTGTGATCCACCTACCTCAACATCAACCTTCTTGAGGCTGGGGTTACAGGTGTGTGTGCCACCATGCTGGCTACACTTTCCTACTTTAACCACATTTAAGTGTACAATTCTGTGGCACTAAGTACATACACAGTACTATACAACCCCTGTCAGTATCTGCTCCCCAAACTGTTTCGTCATCCTCAGACAGAAACTCTCTACCCATTAAATAATAACTCTCCATTCCCAGCTCGTCATGGGCTCTGGTAACTTCTATTTTACTTCCTGTCACTATGAATTGTCTATTGTAGATTTTTCATATGAATAAACTGCACAACATTTGTCCTGTTTTGTCTGATTTCTTTCACTTAGCATAATGTTTTCAAGGTATATCTGTGGTACTGCAAGTATCAGAATTTCATTCCTTTTTAAGGTTGAATGGTGCTCATATTTGTATCACATTTTGTTTTGTTTCTTCTCTCATCTGTCAGTAGATATTTAACTTTTTCCCGCCTTTTGACTCTTCTGTTTGCGTTCCTGCTTTTGGGTATATCCTTAGGAGCGGAATTGCTGGTTCACATGGTAATTCTTTGTTTATCTTTTTGAAGAACTAGCATTTTGTTTTCCACAGTGGCTGTACCATGCACTTTACCTTCCCATCAGCAGTGCACAAAGGTTCCTATTACTTTTCACATCCTCATCAAAGCTTGTTTCCACTCTTGTTGTTGTTTACATTTTGCATTTAAAAAGGCAATATGTATCTTTAGGAGTGTAAAGGATGGAGATGTGTTTAAGCCGCAAAACCAGCAGGAATGGGCCAGACACCCAGCTCTGCTTCTTAGGGTCCCCGTGGCCTTATACAAACCCCTTTTCCCTGTACATCAGTTTCTCATGTGTTAAGTAGAGTGAGTAATAGCTCTTACTTCACTGTGCCAGTAAGTGATAATGTACATAAAACACTTTGCACAGAATTCAGCATACAGTAAGGGTTCATATAGTATTCTTTGAAAAGCTTTTTTTTTTTACTTTGATGTTGATGATAACCTAAAGTGTAGGAGGAGGCTCAAAGTGTGTAATACATGTTAAAGATTGAATCTTAGACTCGTAAGCAGAGGTACCTTTAACTGCCATGGATGGAATTTGTCTGTTGCCTTTTCAAAAGACTGTCTGCATTTTGTGACTGCTTGGACATGTCCTGGAGGCTCTTTCCCTACTCAAGGCACCATTGTTGGTTACTGATGAAAGACAATATTTAGACTTTGATTCCCAGCCCATTTGCGTCACTCTCTTTCCTTCAGCCTTCTGTGGCCTCTGTCAATAACGCGCCGGCAGATGTGGGTAAGTGCTCACTCACCATCGTTCACCAGCTCCTGGAGCACCCTGAAGGAGCCCGACTGGCGAGGCTGAGTGGGTTCGTCCCGATTGTCATGGAGCATGCGGTATACATCCGACTGGGGCGGTACTGAGGCCACAGGTTCACTGAGAGACAAGGACGGCAGGTGAAGCATGGATAGGTGGTGGTCGTCACTACACTTACAGCAATGCTCAACAGGGGTGTACTCTCAAGTGGATGTTATAAATAAAACATAATGTAAATCACATAGGATGCCTTAAAATGTCCCTGCAATAAACCCAGGGATTGCACCACACTATCCATTTGGACAAAATACTTTGGAAAAAAACAAAAAGTGATGGTTGGAAAACAGTATTAAAAAAAACAACAAAATTTGTGCCTTATGACACATATGTTCTGTGAAGAAAAATGTTCTCAGAAACAAAAGCAACATACACATGACAGTGCAGGAGTGAACCCAGTTTGATTATTAGTAGGCTGAAAACTTTAACAGCATTCAGATTAACTTTTGATATTAAACTAAGAGTAAATTGCTTAATTTTGTTTTTCAGGTTAGTTTGTTAAATCCTAGAAATAACAAAGCTATCATTTCACTTTTAAATTGATAAAAATCAGTTTGTCAGTATTTGAAAATATGTGGAAACTTTAATCGACAGAGTCCTTCAAACAATGTATATACCAGGAAAAGAAAACTTGTATAAATATATTAATACTGAATTTATGGAGACATGATGAGATCGATACAAGTTTTGTCCTCTACAATACTTTTGTCCTCTACAATTACAAGAGGTACTCAAAGTGGTGGCCATTAGCTTCCAAACATTTATTAGTAAGGCAAAATGCTGCAATGTACATATAGTTTTTGGGGGACTCTGTATGTATATATATATGTTTGATTCATTACCTTATATTTCTAAAATTGCCACATTAAAAATCATTAATAGTAATGACAGCAGCTTTATTTAACATGTTTCCCATAAATATACTCATAAAGAATAAAAATGCTACCGTAATACTTCTCAGGCACTACTTTATTACTTTATGTCATTTAATTGTACTGTTTAGAAACAATAATTTTCTGCCTATATTTTAAGTATCTATGTATTTGAAAACTATCATTTTGTTTATAGGAAATTCTTTGAAAAATTATCTAGATATACTGTTATTAACTCAAATGTATTAATCCAGAGATATTTTTATGATATTGTCACACAGTACTCTTAAGCATCACAACAATTTATAAAAAGTAGTTCTGCAATGTTAAAAGAAGTAATAAGATTTTATTCCATAATAAATCATAAATTAGAAAAGCTTGGAAACAAAAGTTGTTGAAGCAAATATTCAAAATAAAGAAGAATTCAGTCAGAATAAAAATCAAAGGGAATTAAATATTCACATTAACAGACTGAGATACTTATTTATCTATAAAACTATTTAAGGCAAACATTTTAAAGGGAAAAATAATTACCTCTGTACACATTTCCTTTAGAAGACAGAAATGGTATCATAAAAAATCCTCTGATCCTACTAACCTCTCGTAATTTTAACCCCCAAAATCAGACATAGGATATGCTAGATTATAAAACACTTTTGAGAAGTGCCAATCAGACATCTGTAAAATACAACATACTTTTACAACACATTTCATCCTTGTATGATTTCATTTTATTGTTATCTCCCACATTATTCTACTCAGATAATTCCTCAAGTCAACTTTTATCAACAGGTCTAGATATTTACAATAACTCTCAGTATTTTTCCTTTAAAGCTTTCCACATCACTTTTATCCTATTAAGACAATGATAAAGAGACACCATGAAAGTTGACACTGCCCATGTGTTTAGTTAACATGCCCGTGGTTCAAACAGACTCGCATTACCTCATTGAGGGTGTTTCCCCTAGAGCTGTTGAAACCTGACCCTGAAGTGTTTCCATAATATTGTCATCTGAGTACAACTGCATAGGTGTATTAAACTGAGCATGTACAATCTTCACACCGGGAAGTTCCATTTCCAAAGGAATGTTAGGGGCCATCTTAGCCGCAACTTTCAAGTCACCTGGGCAAATTGTACTAAGAGTACTGACTGAAGAAGGGGTGCTACGTCCACTGCCACCGTCAACACCGGAGGGCGTGCTGCATCCACTGTGTTAATGACCAGTTACACACACAAGACACGAGGGACCAGAGGACACAGAGAACAAGTACAGAGAGGTTATGAGGAATTGAAGACAAAAGTCAGGGTAAATTGTAACAACCTAGAACACTGCCTAGACCCTGTTTTACAAAAGGGTGATTTTAAAAATTCATGAATGAAGCAGCTTTAATAAAATTAAAAGATGCAGGTGCTATTGCACTTGTTGGCTCTATTCTACTAGGGGATTTGTAAATTGAGGATTACTTATAGAAAAAATTGTACATCAAGTTGATGAAATACAGCTATCTTCACTTTTTTTTAAAAAAAAAATAGGCCAAATAGTTTTATTGGTGATAATATCACTGATAAGCCTGTATTTTATATTTTTGGAAGTATATTTAAAATTAAAATATTAATGAATTATCCTTTACAAATACTAAGTGAATGTGTAGCATTGAGATTCAATCAAAGATTTAGAGGAACATTTTAAAATAAGAAGTACGTTTCAAGAATACATTTGAGTTGAACCGAATGGTAACTGGCAACTTGTAAGTGAACAGATATAGATTATATTTTAAGGTTATTTTGAAAATATCTTATTGTGACTTATTTTAATTTTTATTCTTTCATTAAAAAAACTGTTCTGTAGTTTAAAACAGAATCTTGAAACATCCAGTTAATACCTATCACCTTGTAAGAAATCATTAGAGAACAAAACAGGTCATCTCAGACTATTGGTAGCTACCATCAGGCTAAGCTGTATTTCCTAATACATAGGAATTTCATGTCAGCTTGTGGAAGCTCACATATGTTTTCATGCGTATTTCTCATTTTCTTTAACAAAATGAGTTAAAGGGATTTATCATCAAAAAGGCCAGTCATGCAAATGTCAGAACTAGGGAGATTCCATATTCTTTATGAAAATGGATAGGAAGCTAGTCACCAGTGCAGATCTTTATTTATATTTATTTATTTATCCTAAGGATTGAACCCCAGGCCTCATGCATGTTAAGCACGTGTTCTATTGTCGAGCTACACCTCAGCCTGCTACATGCATTGTAAGTGCAGCATGGGAGATAATGGAATTTGCCAGAAAATGGAATATGCTAAGAGATTTTTAAGAAGCAGTCTTTTAAAACAAAGCAAAAAGAAATAGTGTCATAGTAAATCTCTGTCATGTCTGCTAGTTAGTGTCATTGTAATCTTATGACAGAGAGTAGATTTTCTATGATTTGTTTACCTCAAAGTCAATATTCTCTCAACCCTGACCCCATCTCTGCATCTGTTTGCTGAGGATACTAATGTTAACCTCAGTCTCACATAGACAGCAAAACTGAGAAAGATAATGGGCAGTGTTTGTTTAATCAGTGTTGCAGCCTGAATAGTTTGTGCAGCCTTTTTTTCTAAATGGATTTAAAACATTAAAAAAAAAAAAAAAAACCAAACTTTTGTGCTACCGCATTTCCATTACCTACATAGCCTGAATAATGGACTTGCTCTTTGACTTACTGGCTGTTGAGAATCTGTTTGAAACTCAATCTGTACACTGGTTAAATGACATGACAAACTGTCAAGTGACTTCATTCACTATTTTTGGTGGCTCAATATTAATTTGGCTTCTGAAATTGGCTTCATCTAGTAAAAGCATAGAAGTTAATTTTCAGTTGTAGTGGTTTAGTCAGGAGAACGTTGATTTGACCCAATTGTTATGAAGCTTATGAAACTGTAGCTTAGGGATCTTGAAATATTGAATTAAATCTTAGGACACTTCGGGCTCAAAATAGTGAACAAATTCACCCAATATCTAGAGCTGCTGTGATCTCACTACCAGGCAGAGTGTTGGATACTAGCATCACTCTGGAACTTAAACAAATGCCTTGTGATTGCACTTAGTAGTCATTTTCTGTTATTAGCATTCTTGTCTATCAAGATGTTTGTGCATATAAGTTTAGTTAAGCAAGAGCTTTGTATTCTATCTCCTGGTTCCTTTATCATCCTGATTAGGGGCTCATGTTTATTTAGGGAACGAATAATAAATTATGCCAACAAGAGTGACATTTTATAAATTTCTGGGACAATTTTAAATGGTCTCTTGATCTATTTTAAAATAATACAGTCTTCATGGACTCCAATCACAGTAGTTATCATCACAGGTCACCATGACTTGGAAATACTGGTACTAATGAGAGTTCCTGAGGCAAACTCACCAATTTAGAAAGACTATCAGGAAGGTTGATAATGTACTCAATTACTTCTTGTCCAGAATCATTCAACAGAGAATTGACTTCTCTGGAGATATTTACAGACTTTTGGGGGGTTGCTGCTAGAGTAACTTTTCCAAAAGTTGCACAGGTATTGAATTTTAATATTTGGATCTTTAATGGCTTGTATATAGTTTTAGTTATAGCCTCAACTTTATAAATTTACACAGAAAAAGGAATGCTTCAGTTCTGATGAAGTAATTAAAAGAACTAGTGCTAGTGGTAAAAGCTCAGGGAGATTAACAGAACAAATTCAGCATTTCAATTTACTACTGATTACAGATTGTTCACTAATAGTACACGGCAGTAGTTCGGCAGGTAGCCTCTCCAAATCCTACTCTGATGAGGAATCATTCTGAGCAACTAGAGCAAATAGCATGGGCAGCAGACAGAAAGGAGGCATTGTAGAAGCATTTTTATAATTCTTTAAAATTAGTGACCTGCAATGTCATCCTTTTTTTCTCTAAAGCAAATTGTCTCATTTCTGTTTCCTTTCCTCGTATCTCACAAAATTTAAAAAAGACACCTTTAAATGCCAGACTTGTTGAGTGACCTGTCCTTATCACAATCTTAAATTAAAATGAAGACATCAAAGAAAGAATTATAGACACAGGTCTCTATTTCTCTGAATTTTCATAAAATTGAATGTGTCCTTAAGCAAGGCAGTATAGCAATCCAAAATCTTGTAGGTGGGAGTTCATGGATTTGTGGTCATTTTGAACCAAAAAGAATGCAAGTATACTGATTTTATGATGCTTTTTGGGAAGATTTTTGTGTATTTTTGATTTTTTTTTGTCTTTTTAAGACAGGGTTTTGCTGTACAGTTCAGATTGGTCTCAAACGCATGACAATCCTCCTGCCTCAGCCTCCAAAGTGCTGGGGTTAAAGTGTGTGCCACTATACCTGGCTGGGAAGGAATTCTGCTCAGGAGTGAAATAGCATTTTAACATTCAATGTGACATTGTTATGTTATTGAAGGTGTACAGGTACAGGTAGTACTAAGGAAAAAAACAGGGAAAAGATACAGAGGAAAGCAGAATGGAGTAAGAGAATGAACCAAAGGAAGTAAAGGATGGCGCAGAGCTGCCAGCAGGAGGAGGAGGGATAATAACTCCCAGTTCTTCTCACCAGACACTGAAGAACTATTACGTGGTATGTTTCGGATGTGCACACTTATTACGTATTCATTCTTCTGTCCGGGCCTCATTCCTAGGTGTGGGGCTGTGGAACCAGTCAGACAGGGACCCTACAGGTGCTGAGTTTATTTTAGGGTACAGTGGAGTGGGGTGTCATTGTCTTCTTCAACATTTCCTCCCCTTCTTTCATTTACTACTCGCTCTGAGTAGGATGTCACAAAAATTGTCTGGCTTAATTTGAGACCATCTTTTAGGTCTACCTCTAGCTTACTGAAGAGTCTGCACATGGAAATCATGTGTCAAGTGATGACTCGTCACCCACAGCGGGAGTCATTAGCTTAGGGGTCTGAGGGGTCGGGGTGGGGCACTAGGAGACTCACATATATGTGAAAATGGGCCAGCAGTATACACTTAAGTGTCATGGCCATTTACAAGCCCCATCTAAAGACACATAAATTTAAACAATTAAATAATACAGTTAAATAAAACTTGCTTATAAAATTAGCTACCTATTGGTTACCAGTTTGGAAGTGGATATAATTTATTATCCACTGTTCCTAACCTGGTGGGATCAATGTGGCCTAACCACCAACTTCCTTCTTCTAGGTTGACTAACTCAACTAGGTTGACTAGTTGAGATCAAAGCAACAGATAGATCTGAGATTTTCTAAAGTTGCTATTTCTCAAAGTGGCAGTACAGTTCTCTCTCTGTAAATTGAGGTTCAATTTTTAGAGAATATGAAAAAGAACATCTAGAAATAATCATTTTATCTGGTTGATAGACAGGAAGTCAGACTTGGCTCATTAGTATTATAATTTTATAGCTTTGTCCATTAGGGTAACCAGTACACTTATCTATTTCCTCTTATTTTATACTTATTTTCACTCAAGTGAAAAAGCTTTAAAGGAGCCTATTTTTTGCGATAGGGGTAAGGATCCATAAAATGAACATTTATTTTTTATGTGAGGACTAGAATTCATGGGGTTTGATAGCTCGATGAGGAGCTGGTACTGTAAGTGGGGTGAGCAGAGCCTGTCAAATACATGAATGACACCAGCTTTCTCACATGTGTCCTGTGGACTTCTTACGCCTGATGGAGCCTTGTGGTTTCCATTTCTGTCCCTGTTGGAAGGGCTTTCCTGACCTGGGATGGAGCTTGCCTGCCTGACTCAAAGGTCACTGTGTTCTGGATAGAATACCAGAGCGGCAGGGCACTAGTTATAAATATACGTGGTGACTGCCTACAGTTGCACAGCTCTGTAATCTTGTCCGTATTTACTCTCAGAAATGGAGGTGATTTGGTGGTTGCTCTCTGCTGAGTGCAACTGTTTCTTTTTGCTTTCGAAATAAGTCTCAAAATGAAAAAGTTCACTCCAAACATCTAAAAGCTACTTTTCTTGATGATTAGTAAGAACTGATTAAAGGAGCATGCACGTCAAACTCCACAATCTCAGGGTTTATGACCTGCTTCGGCCTGGGATTATGAAAGGTTTGGGCCGAATATTGTGCTTGTGTTCAAAGTAGTTCACGTCCTGCAAAAACAAAGGGTTAAAGAAGTCCCTCAGTGGCAGATTAATATTTTACAACAAAGTTAAATGAACGGTAACTGTACAGAGAGAATTATATACATCACCTACTGACATGACTAAGACAGGTGATTATGAAACCAGAGTGATTTTGTCTCTTTTATCTAAATGTTCAGGAACTGGCAGGTTGGGCTCAGGAACAACTAGAACCATGTTCTAGATGTTTGTCTTTAAAAATGAAAATCTGATAGTGCCTCCGGAAAAATAAACAGAAAACAGCAAGAGCTGGACTTCTGAAAGGAAAGAAACCACACTGTCACCGTGAAGAACACTGGGCAGAACCAAGAGTCCAATACTTACTTTTGAGGCGAGCTAGGAAGGAGACCGCGCAGCTGTCCGTGAAGCGCATCTTGGATATTGCTAGTTGAATAGAGCCCAATTGGTGAGTTATAGGACGCGCTCACTACCTGTCTTTTGTCATCAATGTTTGCTGCTGCAACAAAAGGCTGGGCCCTTCTGTTGTGTGCGGTACCAATGGGTCTGAATTCCTGTACAATGGCAGACAAAATACACACAGCCAAGGAGTGCACACGCTGTTAAACAGCAAACTGATAGCATTGCTATTGTTAATAAAGGCATCTTTACCCAACACCAGGTTAATGGCGAGATTAAGATTAAGGAGTTCGGGATAATTATTTCTACCATTCTCGCTGAAATTCACAGGAGCTATATTCAATTAAATGTCATGATGCAAAGAAACTGAGCTTGCTTAAAATACGGTTCAATATGGTTGCAATATGGTTCACACACTGTATCTTGTCTTCCCCCTAATCACTTTATCTACTACTTTTAAGAAATTCTAAAAAAAATTCTAATTACTCACTTGAGTATTGAAAATTTGTGTCAGAAATGGAGATTTCTGTCTCAGAAAAAAGTTATTACACTTAGGATTTTCTCAGGTAAAACTTAGATATGTTTTCTGTTAATGAGCGGCTTGACAAAATTTCTGTTATATGTTTTCAAAAAAGTATCTACAAGAGAAAGCCCAACACTCTGCAGGCTGAGCCAGGAGGATTGTGAGTTCTACCCTGAACTGGGCTATATATTAAGATCCTGTATCCAAAACAAAAACAAAAAGCAAAACAAAACAAAAACACAAAAATAGAGAAAAAAGTACTTACAAAAAATTCAAATTAGGCATCATGTTAATTTTGGAATAATAAAAATAGGAATAACATGAAGACTTTGCCTTTTATTGTGATGATTTCATATTATGTGTTTAAAAGGACTTTTCATTTTACTTATTTCTAGGAGGAGTAAACAAGTAAGCCAGAAACAAGCAATGAGTGTGATTCAAGAAGAATTTTTCCTTTAGAGTACGGGACCACACATCAAGTCTTAAAATTTGAATTTGAAACATATCTGGATGCTCTAAAACTCTATATTATTATTTTAAAGTGTAGAAACAATGTTTTTCAGTTTTAAATACAGGTATAATTTTGTATAAGCATCAACCTTTTTCTTTTTGTTTTCTGGTCTGCTAAGCAACACAGACACATAGGGAATGCTACAATACACACAAGCTGATTCTTTTCCTAAATCTAACCAGGCAGAACAATTAACCTTTATAATAGCACATTCATCCCCACATTCATAGTAACTTCATTTACTTTTGTAAATGTGCCACCAATGTTGCAGATAGGTTTGAAATAGTAAAAATATGTATAATTATTTGAGGTGTTATTGGAAAGAGATTTTTCTCTAAGAAATTATAGTCCTGTTACATTTGTGTTGACAATTTTTTTCCTTGTCATTACAGATGAGTGAGGTGTGGGAGGGTGCATTTCTGTAGAGAGAAAAGATTGTAAAGAGGAGGAGGAGATGAAGGACAAAAAGGAAGAAAAGAAGAAGGAAATAAAGGAGGAGGAAGACAGAGGAGATGACGAGGAGGAGGAAATAATAAGAGGCTCTTTCTAAGAGGTAGACTCTTAAGAGTTTCTTGTGCCTAAGAACACGTGCAACTTTCTGTAAAGATCCGAGCTAAGAAATGCATTGCTTTTGGCTTGCCTGAGCAGGGAATCTTTACCTATATTCCTTTTTATCTTTCTGGCCTATGACACAGTGCTCTTTACTTTTCTTCTTTTTTTTAAATAGAAAAAAACACAAAAAAAATCAAAAAGCAAGCAATTAAAAATAACAACAAAAGCAAAATAACAACAACAACAACAAATGGCAATATAGGATTTCAAAACAAGATGATAGGAATTTATCAGTGGTTGTTATATTGCATATTGTTATCCTCAAAGTAATTGCTCAGGCTACCAGATATGCAGGTATGCAAGACTGATCATACTCCTAAGTGAAATGAATCAGATTTGCATGGGTAAATACAATCTGCTTTTTAAAAAGTAGTTATGCCAGGCTGTATGGGTGCAGTTCAAACACTAGCCTATTGAGTCTTTCCTCCAGCTACCCAAAAGCTCTTGGCATCTGAGCATCAGTGATGTGGTAAAGATTATGGCCAACCTGGGACAGTGTATGTTAATAGTTTTGTGAAGCTGAGAAGAAAGTTTAAGATGAGTATTGTTTAGCCCATGATTCTATAGTGCAATCGAATTGATTGGTGTCTTGTTCGTTTGATTTCTTCCTTGTATAGTAATGGCTCCCTGAGGAGTTGGCTAGTTGGCTACTGTTGCCACAGAATGACAAAGCAACCAACTGTAGCTTTAGAAATGCTTTAGTTTTTAGTTTTGAATTGTAGAACATGTACAAATATATGCAGCCACTTATATAGTGGCGCTATCTGTTTTAATTGATCTAATAATGAACTTGAATTAGCTTTGTTTTATGATTAATCATTAGAATTAGCTATGAGTATTATGGCATAAAAAGTGGAAACAATTTTAAGTGATATCAGTGTACACAATTCAAGCCTTTGTAATTCTTTTTGATATGAAAGAAGATAGAAGGTTAATTGCCTAATTTAGTTTTGGTAGATTATATGCCTTTCAGGCTCATTAAAAAGTGAATCAGGCAGGACTGAACTACTCAAGCTTTGTGGAACTCAGCTTCTTAAAAAAAAAAAAAGAAAGAAAACAAAGTAATGAGGTGCCTTTAAAAATCTTGATAAAAAGAATTAAATTTAAAACAATTTAGTTGTTTTAATTGTTGGCTTTACTGGAAAAATTGCTGCCTTTATTTTTTTCTTAGCTTTAAAATGATGCATAAACATGGATGGTGATTGTCCTGTAAATGAGGCAACTTCTCTGAAAAATATTTGTGCATTTATGATCTCCAGTGGTACGTCTAAATAGCAACACGTAAGTTAGTCAGGTCCAAGCCTTTTTTAATTTTCTTTTGACATTTTCAGTTTGGGTTACATATACTGCAAGGGTCAAAGCTGTATAATTTATTAAAAGAAAATCCCTCTACTTTCTGTTTAGGTCATAAAAGGAAGTCTTTCTAGTACAGAATTCAAATATTTTTATGTAAGCTTTGCCAAGCATTAGTTTATTGGATTCTAGAGTCATTCTCTGAAGCACACGGAAGTTATACAACAACAGTAAACAAGGGATTGAAGCATGGCACTGAGAGGGGACATTCTAGCCAAGCGCTACATCACTGCTGATGCTCAAACAGAATCAAAAGACAAAGCCAGCTGTAAGTTTACTGTTCTACTTTAATTCCTTAATAAAAAATTTTTTTGAAAACCACAAGTAACAGAAAGCACCAGTTAAAAATTCTATAACAGTTAATATAGTCCAGCTCTTGTGTTTATTCTACCAGAAAAATACAGTTTTGTCTTCTCTCTTAGGAATTAAAAAAGTGACCATTCAAAATAACAATTTAAAAATATTTTTCAATGCTAGGGGCATATATTAAGGAATACTATTTTGAACTGATGAAGTGGTAAAAGCTAATTAACCTGACAGACCCCCAGTGACCCTGAGGGAACGCAGCTCTGGTGTGTCCCTCACGTGCATGAAATGACTGACAGAGCTCAAAGACAGCTCACCTGCAATTTCTTACTTGGAGAAAAATTCAGGACTCAAGTTGAGATAAAGACTCAAGTTCTTACCATCTCAATCAGAAAAAAGTATGTCTGATTTACAGTTTGTTTTTATTTCCCTATTATTTATATTTTTAATATAAAATGGTAGGAAAGTTAAAAAAGAAAAACTATGTGAAGTGAATATAGATTAAATCAAATCACAGTAAAGAAATACTATTTTAAAATCGTGTTTGAAATTTATAAGCTATCATTTCTCCCTCACATTCATCCCTTAAATGAAAAATAATGTCACCCTTAAAGTTGCTTTTTCCCCACTCATTTATTTTTAACTGTTTCCCACATCTAAGTGGGTAGAGTTTGAAGGAAATGGTGATTATAAAAGTTTATTTTACATAGGTTGCTTTTAAGTTATCAGAAAATGACAGAGTAAAGTTCATTTTATGAAAATAAACTGTGACTGAGTTTATAGGTCCATCTTCATTAACAAACCTCCATGGCAAGGATGCAGTCATTTATGTGAAAATGATGACTGCATTCTTGTTTAGAAATGAATTGTTTCTGAAAAAACATCTTTTCTACTGCAATCGGTTCTTTATATTTTGAGCGTTCAACTGACATTAAGCAGGAAGTGATCTGTTGAGCTTTGAGGAAGGGCTAGCAGCACACTTCTGTCTAGAGCAACACTTTTTGTAGAAAAATGTATGCACTCATTAAAAAATTACCCAGGATTACACAGAAGGAACTTATGCCACTGCTTGGAGTTGATCTAAATAAGGTCCTCTGTAAGCCTAATATTTAAGTCTAAATTCATAAAATCAAAATTTAAATGCTTGGGGATAGAATGGTAAAATGAAAATAATCTAGATATTAAAACTTCACATCAATTATTACTATAACTGTGTAAAATAAAATCCCCAAGCTTGAATCTATGCACAGGGGAGAAATCAGAAATATTTTAGATGGTAGGATGTGGTATTTTCTTTTTCAGTGAAGAGATATTAGTTTTAAATAGTTTAAGTTTTTAGTTTTAAATTAGTTCAAATTAACTTTAAGTGAAAAAAGTATTTTATCCCAAAAGCACAGTTCACAATACTTACAAATGAAAATCTGACTTTAGTTGAGACACAGGAACTTAAGTAATGAACACTTGTGCCTTTTACTAATTATCTACAATGACAATTTAAAGCTTGATATATTAATGGCATTTGCTTCTCACACTGACACTTTTGTTTTCCAAAAAGTTTCTCTATTTACAGAGTTCACATGAAGATTTAATATATATATATATATATATATATATATATATATACACATACATATATATACACACATTTTTACATGGCTTTGTGTTGTTTAAAAAGTAATCATTAGTTTTTCTCCAGTCTCAATCTGTAAGTTAAATTTACTGTTTATCTTTGTCACTACATTTTTTTTTGTAGCTCATGCCATAAGACTTTCAGATAGTGAGGGATTCATGGACATTTAGCTCTTTTGTACAAAGAATATTTGCCCTCAAATACCAAGTTCTGTGATATAAAATCTGGCCTAAGAGTTTCATAAGGAGTAGTGATCATCCCATCTATTAGGAGAAATACTGAAATTGTTCCTATCTTGGAGCCCTTCATATACTGCCTCAGGAAGAAGATACCAGCCAGAACCGGTCATGACTCAAATGAATGGAATTTCTGAAGGCTCCTTTTGAATGCTATTGCCCTTAAACTAATCTTCACCTTTTCATTATATTCATATTTTTAATTTCCAAATCCAGGACCTATGGTCTAATATTGGATTGACAAAAGACGAGAGTGTTAAAAATTAGGACTATGCATTAAAATTTAATTCTTAAAATAGTCATAGACATAAATCAATGCCCATTGATTTATAAAAGAGGCTTCTTCTAGAGGTCAAACTTAGGAATCACATTTAACCTCTAGTTACTGAGAGAGGTTAGCCTGTGTTTACAGGCTCTCATTCTTGTCTAAAATTGTTACACACTTAACAAACACATTCTGAGTCACCTATATGCCAGGGAGGGAGAGGTAACTGTGATTAAGTATCACTATTAAGCATCACTGGGGTGTGCTACTTCGATCAAATCTGTCTTTTTGGCCCATGCTTTACATCTCATGCTTATGAAATGGGATTTCAAAATTAGGTGAAATTTTGAATGGAAAAATAATTTACAAAAGGATGCAGTACAGTTTTGTACGTGTGCTCTATATAAATAGGCAAATGCAGAATTCTATAAAATTTATTCTGGAGATTGTGAGAATTTAGGTAGTTAATAAATGCATGCATAAAAGCCTTACATTTCTGTTTTTTCCTAGTCTATTCTTTTCTTTTCAAGTACCAGAGTCTCTTTTTCTCTTGTGTTGCTTCTAAGTGAGAATTGATGAGTACAGGAGGGAGAAGGTACATTTTATCCAAATGATATGAGTGCTTAACTTTACCTTGAGAACTTTTCTTTCAATCTTTTAAATGTCAAATTAGAGTCACTAGTATTTACTAAACCACCTACCATGCCAGAATGAGTATGGTAAGTTTTCAGATCACAAATCACTGTGTTTATAGATTATTCTTGATCCCAAAAATATGAAATTTGAAATGTCTCAAAATGGGTGCTTGTTGAACAATGTCACACTGCAAAAAATGGGGAATTCTATACCCATCTCAACTGATGAAGTGCAGTTGAAATATAGGCACATTAAAATATTGTGTAACATTACTATCAGGTTGTGAGACATATCTAAAAATAATTTCAATCCCATCTGCAAAATATTTCATTAATAGAGGTGCAAATATTCAAAAATAAAAAACAAATCTGAGAACCAAAGCATTTCTGGTTCTAACCATTTCCAGTAAGGGATACTCAACCTGCACTATCCATTCTGTTCATTTTGATCATCTGCTTATTACCTGACCTAAATATCCCACTGGACTTCAGGATCACTTTTATAGTACAACAGCTGGAGGTTGATGGCAGAACAGTTTTTGAGAACTGATTCCCAGACTGTTAGAAAATTCACTCTATCTTTTAAACCCCCAGCTCCTCTCCTTGACAGTCTGCTATGAATTATGTGCGAGAGATGCAAAGCAGAAAGAACAGACACTCGGTTCCTGACTTCATGAATATTCATTGTCTTGCTCAACCCCTTGGGGGCCTCCTTATCCTAGTTTCTCTCCTTTGCGGTTTTCAGGTTCAGTCTGTACCTTTCGTCCAATCAAAAGTCTAGGACAAGAATCCTATCACTGAGTCCCTCTAAATATGATCCAAGATGCTTCTTTTTCTGGGAGACTGTATTTTAACTGGAAATACAGCTTTAATCCAATGTAATTTGTAATGATCCATGTAAGGGTAGTAAGGAAAGAAGCCCCATTATAAGGAAGCCCCCTTATTATAATACATGGGGATGAGGGTAGGAAGCCTTATTACATGTGAAGCTTCTTACCTCACTGTGAGAGAGACCAAGAACTGAGCTTGGAGAGGTACCTCCTTACTAAGATCTGTGAGTATCTATCTGGACAACTCAATGTATCAAGTGTTTTTACGTAAATCTTTGATAATCCCTGTGAAATAGTTGCACTTATGTTATTATATATCTATGTAACCCTTAGAAAACAGAAGTTTATAGAGACAAGTAGAAGATAAGAAGGACAAGTTCAGGAGTCGATCATGAAAGGAGGATGGCATCGAAGTATGAGTCATAATGCTTTCAGTTCATCTTTTTTAAATATGTAGAGAAACCATACACTGGAAATATCTAATCCTCTTAGTAGGAAAGCTAGTTTCAAAATGGGTATTAAATTTGTGTCTGTATCTCTAAGGAGTTTATAGAACTCTATTTTTAATTAGATTTTTCAGTGTATCACAATGAAGCTTGATTTAATTTGACCCTTGAGACTTTTTGAATACTGACTTGGTCAGATAAGCATCGGATTATTAGATTAATTAATTCATGAGTTTGAGTTGCCTCAAGGGACAACCCTTTATCCGCTGTAATTCAGCTGTACAGACAGAATATTCCATGCTAATATAATACAAATTTTTTTGTAAGGTAAATTTGATTATAGAATGCCAGAATTGAGAATTAAAGGGTGTAAAATAAGATATGGGTGAAGACCTTGAAGGGTTGAGGGTCATAGTGAGTGTTAGATTAGAGACACCTGTTTTAAAGGCTGTGTTTATTTTTCTTTCACTTTGTTTTAACAACTTCAACTTTTTAGATTACCTCATAGCCATCTGGCAGCAGTCCACTGTAAGAAGTGGAAAAAGCTAGTGGACTCTGTATAGATTCAGCTAAATTCTTCTTGATGAGCACATGTTTGTCTTTTTAACAAGATGGGCCCCTTCAGCATATTTCTCTTTTTTTCTCAATGTAAGAAAATATGAATCCTATAAATTAATCTCAGAGTAAAGACAACTGCTCACCAGGTGACTCGGTCCAATTTTTATGTTTGCCAGTTCATCCTTTTGAGACCATCTCCATAGAGGAAAAGGATATATAAAGTGGATATCATTTACTCCAGGACTCATACCTGTGGTTCTGACTCTAAGTTGATTTTGAAAGGATGCGCTTTCCCATCTTCAGACACCTGTGGAGACCATAAGCGAGTTTCTGCCCTGTAAATAAAATGCAGTTCACAAACTCTAAATTCAACTGGTAGTTCCACACTTAGTGTACTTTAATTTCCCAGTATGTTTGTAAAAGTACTAGGACTAGTTTAAGAAGAGGGGATTATTTTTTAAATTATTCTGCATTTTCCCATCCAATTTTTCTTACTTGTTTAATATCCTTTTTGGGGAATCTGGAATGCATCAAGACTGCCCAGAATACACTGGGAATTTTCTGGAAAAAGTAGGCCTCCATGTATGTGGGAAATAACACAGAAGGAGGAGACTCTGGAGGTCCGTCCTACAGGTACAGGAGGCAAACTACGCAGGCTTCCCTTTTTTCTCTCTTATCCATCCTACTAGGTCACCACAGCTGACATGGAGAAACTGGCCAGATGGATATCCACGGATGGCACAAAGGAATCGTGCTTTGCCTAACACTTCTCTTCCATGTGTCTGGAACCCTTTGTGCCTAAGGGGCTGTGTGCTTGGGAGAAGCACAGAGTATACATAAATATGGAAAAGACTGTTTCACCCCACAACACCACTGGACGGTCCAATTGACTGAGCCTTCTGTAAAGACGGAGATGGTTGTGAATACCATAGCAACGGGATAAATATGCAAACAACCACTGTGACCAAATCATCATTTTCATGGTTTGGTTTCAGGTCAGGGTTTTGATGACAAGAAACTGGGTTAAATTTCTTTTCTTTCTTTCTTCTTTTTTTTTTTTTTTTGTCAGAAATGTCTCAGTAGCTAATAATACACTCCGCACATATGTATTTTCATGCCTTGTGTGATATAATGGGCTGAATGTTGCATGAAATAGCCAATGACAAACAGGAAATTAGCAACCAATTCTAACATGATCACACTTGGGTAAGTCAAGAAATTCTTTTAGGAATATCTTTACATTTCATTTTATTCTTTACCACATTGAGAACCACAGAATGACTGTTGATTATTCTGTGTTTATATAGCTGATGGTTATTTTCATAGTCAACTAACTGGATTGGTAGAGGAAGAGAACATTTCATTTGTCCTCTTTCACAACTTTGACACTCCAGGCAATTCTCTCCCAAAGTGATTTGCCCAAAACTATTATATTGACTGACTGCAGTGCAGGGTAAAGTGGTTGTTATATAAAAGTCAGCAAGAATTCTAGACCCTGTCACACTCATTCACACCAAGAGGATGAAACCATTTATAGTTTTGCTTTAGGTTCTCTTGCAAAACAAGTCAGATTTTACCACCATTAGTTAAGGAGCACCTGTCAATTTTCAGACACAGCTGGTGTGCGGCTGCTTTAATCCTGTCCTGTGCATCCGCATGAGTCATGGACTCTGTACCAAAGCCATCAATGGCCAGGATGACGTCTCCGGGACACAGGTTAGCAGCTGCTGCCTTGCTTCCCGGAGTGATCTGGAAGAAATCATGACACCATTTAAAAACCAGCACGCTGCAACATCTTGAGTTTTGTGGCTGATACTTTTTAATTTCACCTTGGTACTACTTTGAATGGTTCACTAGGTAGGAAACATTAAACCTCACAAAATAACTCCTAATTTAGCAATTGTATTATTTTTCTCATCATGTTAATTTTGTTTCTTACCACAGTTCATAAACAAATGTATCTTATTCTCTTTTTAAAATGTTTCCTTTTCTTCCTTTCCTTTTAAAACTCCCTTTCTGAGTCATATTTTCTTTGTTTTAAAGAAATAGTTCTTAAGCTATTTATTTATTTATGTCCTACACAGTATTCTCCATTTGGGAATAGAATTTTACTACATTTAGGCAACTTTCATATTTAAATTATTTTAGTATAATGTGCTACTGAAGCAAGCACTCATATATGAATTAAAATTGCTTTCGTGTCCGGGTAATTTATGAACCTTAAAATTCACAAATGCCCATCAACTGTGGAATGGATAAAAAAGATGCGACATTTTTTATAAAATATAGTATTACTCAGCTATAAAGAAGAAGAAACTTGAGGCTTTTATAGGTAAGAGAATGTAATTCGAGACCATATTCATAAGTGAAATGAATCAATGTCACATGTGTAAATATTGTGTTGTCTCCCTTGAATAAAAAACTGAAAGATCCTAAATGTACAGTAGATATTGTGAAAGGGAAAGGGAAAGGAACTGCTCAAAGGGAAAGAACGACTGGGACAGGGGAAAGGAGAAAAGAAAGAAGGGACAAGATTATACACGCACACACATATATAGAAGATAGATAATTATACTATTAATACCTGTCAGTTCTTCAAAAGAACAGTTAATGGTTTCATTGATTGAACATTTTTATGCCAATATCATATAATTTGAACTACTTTGAAGATAGCAACATGCAATATATTAACCAGTGTCAATCTCCTATTATTTTGTTTTGAAATTCTGTATCATCATTTTTATTTTTTTCATTTAAAATATTCACATGAGAAGTACCGTGGACTAAATACTTGTGTGCACCCATCCTGTTTTCTATTTTCAGGCTTATAGCTTTCAGAAATTATGAGAAATGGTTTTGTTGTGTTTATTATGGTTTATGAACTACCTAGTTGGTTGTATTTCATTATAGTAGTCCAAGCTGAAGACAGGGCAACCCTAGTTGTACAATGTGGAGAGCAGTTACCTTTGCACTAACAAGAAGCCGGACAGTATAAAAAGTACGTTTATTGTGCTCTTTGAGAGCTGCAGTTCAGGGCAAAAAACCTTGACTCTAATGAAAGCCAGGGTGTGAGTAGGGGCTCACCTGTAATGAAGCACAAAGGAAGTCGTGTTCATCATATTAGCTGTTAATAAAAAGCTAAATAGAAAAACAAATTGCTAAACGTGCCATAAGAGTCAGTCTGGGTGTCCAGACCCAGGCTAACTTACACATATTCTGTACACCATGGACACATTTCTTTTTTGTCCATGTTGTACAGAATTGTGGACATCAGAGAAGTCCTTATTCGCTTTTAGCATCTTCTCTATGAAGAACAGATACAATAAATAGAAAATAACTATCAAGATGGTAGGTTTTAATTAAACCTGTTAATAATTACGTTAAATGAAAATGGTGTGGATACACAAACTGAAAAACAGTCAAACCTTGTCAGACTGGGGAAAACAGCAAGACACAATCTTTTTGATGCTCTGAAGAAACGCTCATAAAGTTTTTTGGAAAGAAGAGATAAAAAAGGATACTAAAGCATATGGGGGAAGATATGCTTTTTCATATTTTAAATATTTAAAAATAGGAAATGTGAAACATTTCTACTTTGAATATATAATTAAAGGCAATGCTTCTTTTGAGCACTATTTCTACTCTCAATTTTTCTGGGTAAATCCCAATTATTTGTGGCTAGGTCTCACATGGGGCTTTTCCTTTCTGGTTCTCTACTACGATTTTACACTATTTCTGCTCCTTTTAATCCATGGTGCTATGGCCATTCTATTTTCCTTTTAGTTCCTCAAGTAGATCAACCTTGTGTCCTCTCTGGGGTCTACACACTGTTATTTCTGCTGGAAACACTTCTCCCTCCCTTCACCCAGTGGCTCCCTTTCATCTCTGTAGGTCTAGGTGCCAACATTGCACTTTTTTAAACTTTTTTTGTTTTTAATCGGTACTGGGGATCGAATTCATGACCACCTGCTTACAAGGCAGTGCTTATGCCGCCTAGCTAAATCCCCAGCCCCCTGCCAACACTGCATTTTCACAGACTTCCCCAAACATCTGAAGTTGCTCTCTAGTCCTTTCCTCCTATTACTCTTATCTTTACATGCTATTCAATTTCTTCATGATAGTATTTATAATTTTATTGAATTGTGTATTGTTCATCTTCCTAACCAGACTGGAAGCTCTTAGAGACATGCATAAAATGTACTCGGATGGTATCTGACTTATGATAGTTTGACTTAAGATTTTTCAAGCTTAGCATGGTTCAAAATTGACACACATTCAATGAAAACTGTACTCTGAATTTGGATTATTTTCTGGGTTAACCCTTTGTGGAACAATACTCTCCCATGATGCTGGGCAGCCCCAGTGAGTAACAGTCAGATGATCACGGGAGTAAATGACTGATACTCTACAGTGACCATGTTGTTAAGCTGTGATGGTGAGTTGGGTGTACTAAATGCATTTTCAGCTTACAATATTCTCAACTTACTCATAATGGGTTCTTCTGGGTATAACTCACTAAGTCAAAGAGCACCTGTTTTTCTCATGTTTTACAATGGATACCTCTGGGTTTAGAATTAAAAAGTGACAGATTGAAGAAAGAATGAAAAGGCCATTTAAAGCAGATCTTACAAAACAGAAAGAGCTAGTTCCTACATACTGAAAGATTGTAACAACCTGTTATTATTATGTTGTGAGTTAGAGAAGAATAACATACGGGGTTTGATTTAAATCTCAAACTGCTCCAGAAAACCAGGTTGTTCTTACCACTTTTCTTGAGGATCAGTCATTAACTCATTTTTTGTCTACTTGCTTATTCTAGCTATTTAACATTGTGGTTCTAAGAGAGGTCAAAATTCATCTAAATAAATAAAGTTGCTGAAATAGTAAATTCTCATGTGTCTCAGTTCTCCAGTCCTATCACTAACATGCTTATTATACTGTGTTTCTTCCTGTGATCATGTCACCATAGTGATCATGATTTTCTGACAGAAACAGTTGATTGAAGTTAGGTAAAGACAAATGAGAACTACATCTTAGCCTTTGGGAGGTATTTCATAGCTGTTTTCCATATTAAAATTCTCTCAGATGTAGAACTATTACAAGAATAAAAGTTTCCATCCTCAAAGTAGCTTTTGGCAATAAAATAATAAACTAACTTTTCTTTAGACATAGTATATTAAAACTAGTACATTCTATTTTTAAACTTTTGAAACCAGCATGATTTGAATTAGAACAGAAGAAATCATGTCTTAATATGTTTGTTTTCAAAGTCTCTCCGTTTTACTAAGATACTTAAATGGATTTAAGGTATATAACATTCATTACTGATTTATAAAAGCTTAAATTTACTTTTTATAACTGGTTAGGATAAGTGGAAGGTAACATTATGTGTTAAGCAAGATGTTAGGACTTAGATATTGACTATTCATGTAATAGATATTCAACATACATGTTGAGATGATAGAACAAGTTATGTCTTACATGTTGAATATTACTAAAATTTATTAATACTACTAATATTAAAATTAACAGTCATATTGATGAAAAATGTTAATTTGCAAAGCTTTTTCTCAAGCTTTTGTTCCTACAACTCTACAATAGGCAGAACAACGAAGACTATCTCTGATTTCAGAAGAGGACTGGTCTCTCAGTGACCTGCTGCTTCCTGGAAAGCTGAGCACAGTTGTAATGGATTAACTAACGGTCAGATTGGAACACCCAGCTGAACTGCATCACTGTGGTCCTGGGTGTGGAAGGACCACCTGAGGATTGTTGCCAACACCAGAAAAGGAGACCTGGAGGGTAAAGATGGTGTGCTCTTTATTCTTCTGCAGAAGCTTGTCATGCTGGCTTTCCTGATATGAACTCAGTTCTCATTGTGGGAGGAGTTCAAGTTCTTGCTGTCACTGAGGATGGCTGCTGTACTTTTTGGGGGAGCTCTGGTCCTTATGTTGAGCATTGCTTCCTGGTTCTAGTACAGAGCCCTCAGCCTGCCAGCACAGATTCTGTATCCTGCTGGTACGGACTTTCTAGCTTCCACTACTGACCTTTGGGCCTTGTCAGTGCAGGTCCTTGAAACAGACTTGCATGAGACATGGTCGTGGGCTCTAAACTTTCAGCTGGATCATGCAGAACACTGCTGTGTGATTCAGGCTCTCAGCTGGATCGTTTGGGTTTCTAATGTGTAGACAGATCTCTTTCACTTTTGCATTTGACTTTTTGGGTGAATATTATAAAATGATCCTATAAATTATGTGTCGTGTATTAAGTCTAATTCCTTGCAAAGTCTGACTACAACAATTGTATACCTGTCACCAGTCTTTCATGAGTTCACTTGGGAAGTTAGTTGACAGTGACATCTAGAACCCACTTCTGACTTTGAACTCAGACTGTAATAGCTGTCACTGGGCCTCCATAGAGAGAGTTGATAAGGGAGAAATAATGGATATATACAGCAAAATATGGGAGAGAAAGAAAATATGCCTCTTTTTTTTTGATTTTTCAAGTTCAGCTAGGCTGATCAGAAATGACTATCTGGTTTTAGTAAATTATTTGTTTAAACAATACTATATTTTCACCAGAATTTCTTTATACCATGACTTTATTACACTGTAATAGTCAAATTATTACCCAGTTTATTATTACTATGTTTTCCCAATTAGAAGAGGAAAGAGATGAAAGGAGCATAGAGTTTTTCAATGAATTAACATTCAGGTTTGTTAGGGTTTTAAATATTGACAGTACTAGAG